GAATAAGAGAGGGAAGAGATGTACAATTTGGGACATGCTCAATCAGACTTGCCCCAAATGGTAGAGTTAGAAACATACAGGGTATTCCAATTCAATCCCATCAAGGTGGCATGTACCAATGCCATCTCACTAGTCCAAGTGACCAATTTCTGTTCACAATTGATCATAATGATAGGACTAAGAACCAAAGAGATCACATAAACAAGACTAATGCCGAAAATACTAACTGATTGGAAAAAAAAAAAAAAGAAGAATGATCCAACATGGGAAGTGGGATACACAGCAGACTCATAGAATGGCAGATGTCCTAAATAGCACTCTGGCCTCAGAATCAGCCCTTAAGGCATTCGGATCCAACTGAAAAGCCATGAGAGTATTTCAGGGATGGAAAGCCAAGACATTGTGGCAAAAAAAAAAAAAAAAAAAAAAAAAAAATGACCTAAATGAAAGATCTTTGGCCGGCGCCGCGGCTCACTAGGCTAATCCTCCGCCTAGCGGCGCCGGCACACCGGGTTCTAGTCCCGGTTGGGGCGCCGGATTCTGTCCCGGTTGCCCCTCTTCCAGGCCAGCTCTCTGCTGTGGTCAGGGAGTGCAGTGGAGGATGGCCCAGGTGCTTGGGCCCTGCACCCCATGGGAGACCAGGAAAAGCACCTGGCTCCTGGCTCCTGCCATCGGATCAGCGCGGTGCGCCGGCCGCAGCGCGCCGGCCGCGGCGGCCATTGGAGGGTGAACCAACGGCAAAGGAAGACCTTTCTCTCTGTCTCTCTCTCTCACTGTCCACTCTGCCTGTCAAAAAATAAAAAATAAAAAAAAAATAAATAAATGAAAGATCTCTGCGAGTAAGATCCCAGTGGAAAGAACGGGCCATCAAAGAAGGAGGTACCTTTCTCTGAAGGGAGGAGAGAACTTCCACTTTGACTATGACCTTGTCTAAATATGATCAGAGTTGGCAAACTCAAAAGGCTTCCATAGCCTTGGCAACTCATGACAAGATCCTAGGGTGATTACTGACGCCATAAGCAAGAGTGTCAATTTGTTAAGTCAACAACAGGAGTCACTCTGCACTTACTCCTCATGTAGGACCTCTATCTTAAATGTGCTGTACATTGTGATTTAATGCTATAACTAGCACTCAAACAGTATTTTTCACTTTGTGTTTCTGTGTGGGTACAAACTGTTGGAATCCTTAATATATTCTAAATTGATCTGTATATAAAGAGAATTGAAAATGAATCTTGGTGTGAATGGAAGGGGAGAGGGAGTGGGGGGTTGCGGGTGGAAGGGAAGTTATGGGGGGGAAGCCATTTTTTTGGAAATTTATATTCATTAAATAAAAGTTAAAAAAAAAAAACAAATAAACAAAAAAGAGATATAGCCCCAAACCTAATGATGCAGAAAAGCTCAATGTGAAAGAAAGGAAAGGTTATATGAAGAAAATATTTAAAAAAGGAAAGCTAGTGTCTGTCTGCCAAAGCATACTGTAAGTCCTGCTTCCTTGTTAAGGAGAGGGGCTAGTGCTGTGGCATAGCCGATAAGGCTGCTGCCACCCATATGGGCACTGCTTTGAGTTCTGGTTGCTCCACTTTCAATCCAGCTCCCTGCTGATGTACCTGGGAGGGCAGCAGAAGATGGCCCAAGTGTCTGTGCCCTTGCCACCCACGTAGGACACTCAAATGAAGCTCCTGGCTCCTGGCTTCGGATTGGCCCAGCTCTGGGCATTGAATCATATGGGAAGTGAACCAGTGGATGGATGATCTCTCTCTCCAACTTTGTCTTTCAAATAAATAAATAAATAAATGTGGAAAAAAGGAGACATTACTGTAAAAACAGGAAGATAGAATAATTGTAAGCTTGGCTGTACCTAACCATGTCATCTAGCATCTGTGTAACTGACAACACAGAGAAATATATAGATAACAGGTATAATGGTATATAGCTGTAGCACTATATATCTATCTACACATAGCAAAACCTTACAGAACTTCCAAGAGAAATGAACAAATCCATTGTTATAGCAATATATATATATATATATAAAGATAATTTGTTTGAAAGGCAGAGTTATAGAGAAGCAGAGGCAGAGAAAGAGAGATTTTTTTTTTTTTTTGACAGAGTTAAAGAGAGAGAGATACAGAGAGAAAGGTCTTTTCGGTTGGTTCACTCCCCAAATGGCCGCTATGGCCGGCGCTGCGCCGATCTGAAACCAGGAGCCAGGTGCTTCCTTCTGGTCTCCCATGCGGGTGCAGGTGCCCAAGCTCTTGGGCCATCCTCCATTGCCCTCCCGGGCCACAGCAGAGAGCTGGACTGGAAGAGGAGCAACCGGACCCGGGGTGCCGGCACCTCAGGCGGAGGATTAGCCAAGTCAGCTGTGGCGCCAGCAGAGAAAGAGAGGTCTTTGGTCTACCAGTTCACTACTCCCCAAATGGCCACAACAACCAGAGCTCGGGCAATCCAAAGCCAGGAGCCAGGACCATCTTCCGGGTCTCCCATGTGGGTGCAAGGCCCAAGCACTTTGGCCATCTTCCACTGCTTTCCCAGGCCATTAGCAGGGAATTGGATTGGAAGTGGAGCAGCCAGGTCTCCAATCAGCACCCAGGTGGGATGCCAGCACTGCAGGCCACAGCTTTACCCACTATGCCACAGCACCGGTCCCTGTAGGAAAATATCTTAGCATAAGTATTTGAATGGTTAAACAATTAAGCAGATAAAAAATTTTTAAGGATAGAGAAGATTTAATTCCATTACCAGGTCTTGTATAACCAACATAGAATTCTATACTCCAAAATTTCTTAGGTAAATATTCCTCCCAACTTTATCTGGGAATTTTCTTAAAATTGGCTACATACTAGGCTATGAAGCAAAACTTATCAATATGAAAAGTTAATAAGACAAATTAACCAGGTAGAAAAGAAAGCTCTTAATAAAAAAATTTAAAAAGCTAAGTAATGAAAATATACATAAACAGTTCTTGGCGATTGTAGCTAAAATGGTACCCAGAGGAAAATATAAAGCTTTGAGTTATTTATTAGATGTCTGAAAAATAATGGCCAACATATATATTAGAAGAATAGAATCAGCCGGCGCCGCAGCTCACTAGGCTAATCCTCCGCCTTGCGGCGCCGGCACACCGGGTTCTAGTCCTAGTTGGGGTGCCGGATTCTGTCCCGGTTGCCCTCTTCCAGGCCAGCTCTCTGCTGTGGCCAGGGAGTGCAGTGGAGGATGGCCCAAGTCCTTGGGCCCTGCACCCCATGGGAGACCAGGAGAAGTACCTGGCTCCTGCCTTCGGATCAGCGCGGTGCGCTGGCCGCAGCGCGCCGACTGCGGCGGCCATTGAAGGGTGAACCAACGGCAAAAAGGAAGTCCTTTCTCTCTGTCTCTCTCTCTCACTGTCCACTCTACCTGTCAAAAAAAAAAAAAAAAAAGAAGAATAGAATCAACCTAAAGGAAAAGAGGAACATGTCATTCCAGTTTTTGATAAATCCTTTCAGCAAAAAAGAAAACAACCTAAACAACCTAGACTCATTTTAAGCAACAGCATACTCAAACAAGTACAGCATGAGAAAAGAAACTGGTAGGCTATTTTCATTCATGAATATGCAGTTTTTTAAAAAATACATCATAGGCAACAAAATTCAGCAATTTAAAAAATTATCTTTAAAATATCATAGCCACATGTGCCTTCTGTTTTGGAAATTACTAGAAGATGTGATTCATCAGGACCACGAGAAAGCTCTGGGGTCCTGGCTTCAGCCTGGCACAGCCCTGCCGTTGTGGCCATTTGGGGAGTGAACCAGTGGATGGAAGATTCATTCTCTCTCTCTCTCTCTCTCTCTTTCTCTCTCCCCCTCCTCTCTCCCTCTCCCCCATCCCCCTCTTTCTTTCTAACTCTGCCTTTCAAATAAATAAAAAATAATTCTTTTTAAAAAATGATGGAGTGAAGCAAAGAAGAAAAAAGTGTGGAGTTCAGGCAATGAGTTCCAACGCAGAAGAGTCTAAGAACATTCCTAACTGTTGACAAATGGAAGTCACAACCCTGATGGCCTGCAGACCAAGCACTGCAGATTGAAGCAAGCATTTGGAAGACTCAGAGGAGGAAAATAGAACTGAGGGATTATCGGATGCTTCGGAGCACACAGGTGTTTATAATGAGACATTTGAGGGAACTGTTAAAGAATGTGAGGAGACTTAACTACAGAATAGGCTCATTACTCTGTACCCTCGAAGCTGGCAGGTAGCATGCATTCAGCAATAATGTGGAAGGAAGGGCACACTGGCTGAAATCTTAAAGCACACCATGGGAAAATAGAATGAAATGGGCATCAGGAAACAAAGGACAATTGGGAAGAATTCTATACATCATCTTGGAGCGATTTTGTTGCATTTGGTGATGAGAGTTTATGAGCTAGCATCAAATAAGCTGTAGTTGTGGATGACCCTAACGAGTATGCTTGTAAATTAGGGCTGTTGACTTGTTATTAGGTTCTAGACATAGGTTGGAATGGTTCCAATCCAACTGGGTTGTTCAGTTATTCAGCTAATAACACACAAGTCCCTGCTTTGTACCTTGCGCTGTTACGAGGAGCTGAGATTATAATGGTGAGTACAAGCATACGATCTCTGCAATCGTGTCAGTTATCACACATAGCCGTCTGTTCGGGAAGTTTAGAAAATGGGTATTTATAAGATGGTGTATCTGGCCTGAAGGATTTTCTAAACCTAGAGTCACTCTTCTGAAATATAAGATTTTGAACTATTCACTGACTTTGGAAACTGAAACTCGTTTTTCATTTCACTAGGAGTTATCTTTATAGCCAGTTTTTCTCATTTAAAGTGCCTGAGATTTTTGTTGTTATTTGACACATTTCCCGTCTCAATACGTAAGTTTTTCTAGTCGTTCTGCTTGACCACTGGTGCAGAAGTGGCTGTGTGCTGTGTTAGATCCGATCCAGTGTTAGCAGGCTTTGGTGTCTCTCACCTTCCTTTCCTGGCTCCTCTTACAGGGATTGTGTTTGCGCATTACGGTCCCGTCTGGAGGCAACAGAGGAAGTTCTCTCACTCAACTCTTCGGCACTTTGGCTTAGGAAAGCTTAGCCTGGAGCCCAAGATTATTGAGGAGTTTAAATATGTGAAAGAGGAAATGCAGAAGCATGGAGAATCCCCCTTCAGCCCTTTCCCCATTGTCAGCAATGCCGTCTCCAACATCATTTGCTCCTTGTGCTTTGGCCAACGCTTTGACTACACCAATAGTGAGTTTAAGAGAATGCTTGACTTCATGTCCCGAGGGTTGGAAATCTGCCTGCACAGCCAGCTCCTCCTGATCAATATATGCTCCTGGTTTTATTACCTTCCCTTTGGGCCATTTAAAGAATTGAGACAAATCGAAAAGGATATAACCAGTTTTCTTAAGAAAATCATCAAAGACCATCAAGAGTCTCTGGATAGAGAGAACCCTCAGGACTTCATAGACATGTACCTTCTCCACACAGAAGAAGAGAGGAAAAACAACAGCAACAGTAGTTTTAATGAAGATTACTTATTTTATATCATTGGGGATCTCTTCATTGCTGGGACTGATACCACAACTAACTCTTTGCTTTGGTGCCTGCTGTATATGTCACTAAACCCCGATGTACAAGGTAATTCTTGGAATTGTCCTTTATTTGTGGCAAAACCAGGTTACATAAATTAGGGTTTGCAACCTCAGTGCCCTAGTGGCTCCTGGCACTAAGCAATGTCATCATTCTGAACAGCACAGAGTGTTGCTAAGATGCTAACCGTGAAACCCCAAGTTTCTGGACAGTAGGATTAATGTCATAACTTGTTGGCCCCTGCTGTAATCTTCACAGTTCTACTTTGATATGAAATCTCCACTTTGATATGAAATGATGATAAAAGACCTTTTGAGAAGAGCATTGTGGAACTGAAGGGCATCATAATGCCCACTTACACCCCTTCAGCTTCTTTGGAAAATGGAGATCAGAGACTCAGAGAAGTTGTGTAACTAGCACAAGGTCACACACTTACCTCTGCTACGTCCGTCCCCGCAGATAGTGAACCCCAGAGTAGAAAACCAGAGGCAAGGGCGGTGCGTTGGTTTCCATTGCTGTTAGAAGAAATTTCCAGAGGTGGGTGTGGTGCAGTATGTTAAGCTGCCACTTGGGAAGCCTGCATTCCAGAGTTGAGTGTCTAGGCTCAAGTCCCACCTCCGCTTCTGATCCAGCTTCCTGCTAATGCACCTTCCTGGAAGGCAGCAGATGATGGCCCAAGTACTTGGGCCCCTGGCATCTATGTAGGAGACCTACATGAAGCTCCTGGTTCCTGGCTGCAGCCTGGCCAGGCCTAGCTATTGCAGACACTTGGGGAATAAATCCACAGATGGAAGATCTCCTTTGTGTCTCTCCCTCTCTCTCACCCTGCCTTTCAAATAAATAAATACGTTTTTAAGAAAAAAGTACACCAAACATAGCTGAAAACAATGTGAACTTCTTTTTTTTAATTTTTAAAGAATTCTGGTTTTTTTGTTTGTTTGTTTTGAGAGAGAGAGAGAAAGAAAACTCCCATCCACTGTTCACTCCTCAAAGGCCCAGAATCAATGGGGCTGGGCTGGGACCCAAGTTGAGAGCTGGAAGTCAATCCAGGTCTCCTGTGTGGGTGGTAGAAACCCAGCTACTTGAGCCATCAGTGCCGCGTCCCAGAGTCTGCGTTAGCAGGAAGCTGGAGTTAGGAGCTGGAGATGGGTGTCAAACCCAGGCACTTTGATGTGGGACACAGACTAAGTCTTACCTGCCATGTTAACTACTTGTCTACATATCTGCCCCCCAGCCCAGACTTTCTGTCTCACAGTTCTATGGAATAGAAGTCTAACAAGTGTCTCACTGGGCTCAAAATCAAGGTGATGAGAGGCTGCCTTCCTGGCTGGGGGCCCACTGTCTCTGCTTGGATTACTGACCCATGCTGCACTTCACTGAGGCCCACTCAGCCTGCACTGCCAGCTCACTGGTTGTGTACAGGTGGTGAAGTGTGCATAAGAAAGCAGGCTTGACTCTCTCCCAGACTTACTCCTGGTTTATTCTTTGCTTTTTGTATAGAAAAGGTTCATGAAGAAATTGAAAGGGTCATTGGTCCTGACCGAGCCCCTTCCCTCACAGACAAGGCCCAGATGCCCTACACAGAAGCCGCCATCATGGAGGTGCAGAGGCTGACCGCGGTGGTGCCGCTCGCCATCCCTCACATGACCTCTGAGGAAACAGGTGAGTCCAGGGCCTACTCCCTGCAGTTCCCTTGAAGGACACATAGGCCCTGCAGCCAGGAGTGAGCGATGTGCCGACCGTTTGATTGAGGCTTGTGCCACGTGAGCATTATCAGTTGAACTGGCGTTCCAGCACTGCTTGGTTTGATTAAGCCCATCCTGACTTTCAAAGCCTGCACGCTTAGATTGGCAAAGCCACTCGTGCCACAGGGTAAATCAGCTGTGTTGGCAGAAAAAACTTGAGTTAGCAAAAGTGCTTTGCTGTCTTCTTCACAGAAGTCAGAAGAGCTAGTCTAAATGTGGAAGTGAGGCTTTGAGCTGGAAATTATCCTATTTCAACTTTTTTTAATTCTGTAAGCAAAGCATAAATATCAAAGAGTTAGAAGGGGCCCATCTGATTCCAGAGTCACTTACAGTGAAACCTGCCCACTTGGCCATGTCCAGATTCTCCTTATTATCTCTATTAACAAGGAGTGTACCTTCTCTGGAAACAACCCAGAATTCCGTGGCCTTGAATTTGTATAGATGACAGTTGCTTTTACTTGACGCTGGATTACTTAGCAGGTTTTTTTTTTTTTAATGCAGATACAATAATGCTAGAAGATAATGTATCCAATATCTTTGGGGCATTGTCTAAACTGCATATTTACTTGTCAGCTGGTGTCAACCAGGGTTGACCACATCCCTACACACATCCCTTTACCACAGTTTACATCTTTGTCATATTGTTGTGAACATAAAGGACATTTGGGTTATGTATATCTTAGGACTCTGTAATTCATAGGAAAAGGTTACTTCCCTACTGTTTCTGTTTCATTGTCTTCATTGTAATGCTCTTATGGTTTGATTTAGCTCATCAACCCAACAGTCAACAGAGCATCCCCAAGCTGCATCCTGGGATGGGGTGGGGAGAAAGATGTCACTTGGTAAGATCTTGGATCTTGAAGTTTAGCCTTAGCCAATGTAAGATGCTAGGTAGATAACCAGATTTCTCTTTCTGACAGAGAACGGTTGGTAAAAGTGTGTTGAATAATACTGTGTTTCTTTGTTTGGTAGTGCTCCAGGGGTACACCATTCCCAAAGGCACAGTGATTATACCCAACCTGTGGTCCGTACACAGAGATCCAGCCATTTGGGAGAAACCAGATGATTTCTACCCTGGTCGATTTCTGGATGATCAAGGACAGCTTATCAAGAAGGAGACCTTTATTCCTTTTGGGATAGGTTGGTTAAAGTTTAATTGTTTTTAATGGCATAATTTAAAAAAAGAACAAAAGCAATCTTTTGATATTTCATGTTGTTGGTTTAAAAATATTTCTTTCTTACCAACCTATTGTAAGAGAAGAGAGAAATCATTTAGAGAAGGTACTTCCACAGTGTCCATTTCAGATTTGAAAAGCAATTTTAAAATTTTTCTATAGAAAAAGAAGACTTCAGAGATTCTGATCTGGCTTTTCCCCTTTAATCTTCCAGCTAAGAGTGAGGGAAAATGGTAAATAGGCTTGGAAGAGACAGGGTAGCTGCTGCTTTGTATCTGTCTGCAGTTCCTGTCCTTGATGAGATAGATTTTTATGTGTAGGAGTTAAAATGTGAACTGATATGTAAAATTCTGATGCACATATCCTGTGGAAGTCTATTAGGTATATGTGGCCACTTTATTTTAAAACTATATCTGCATTTAAAACATTCAATTTACATATTGCATATAAATTATACTGTTTTAAATAAGAAGAGGAATGGGGTCATAATTCTGACTTCTGATCTCATTTTAGGGAAGCGGGTATGTATGGGAGAGCAACTGGCAAAGATGGAATTATTCTTGATGTTTGTGAGCCTAATGCAGAGTTTCAAATTTGCTCTACCAAAGGATTCTGAGAAACCCGTCCTGACTGGAAGATTCGGTCTAACTTTAGCCCCACATCCATTTAATGTAATCATATCCAAGAGATAAAGAGCATCTCCAGGAAGAGATGGTACACAGATACGTAAATGTGTGCCCTTGTTAGCAGACTGTTCCCACTGCACCCAACAATGGATCCAGCAGCTCCGCGGATCCAGTTGGACTCAGAGAGAGACGAGAGGGGGTGGAGCCTGTGGACGCGTTCCTCTTGGAGGATTCCTCAGCAGAATACTTCAGCCATCTTAGTCATGCGTTTCTGTGACTTACCAAAGAGGTGGGGACTTCAGCCACAGCAGCTTCCACCCATGAGCCTGTCTTCCCATCTCTCAGTGCCTCAGGCAACTCATGCTCAAATGGGGGTCAGAACTTGCCTTCTCTCTACCTCTCAGCATTAAGGAAGCTCTGTTGCCTCGATTCTTTTTCTGACAGCACCAACATGCCATTACATTCAGGTGGAGGATCTTCCTGCTGGAACGTTAAGTAAGGTCTGTGACAAAGTGAAAGTGGTGTTCAGCCTTGAACATTTGGTCACAGAGGGATGTAGCTTCAGATTAGAGGGAGGTAGAACTTCTTGTTTCAGCACAAATTCTATGGCAGTTTCTTTGATTTGTTCTGTTATTTTTGTGTTTATGATTTTAGTTCTTATTCTTTGTAGACATGGGAAGCAGCGGACCCTTGCCCAGTATAGTAAGAAAAAGAGAAATTAGCATTTTGAAAAATTCCCTATCAAGTTATTATCTAAATTTATATGTCTACCTTTCCATTCAACGACATGGACAGTGAACCTGAACAAGCAAGCGACTTCATGTCATGGCAAATTCCTTTCTTCAGAGCTCATTTGCAGAGATGCAGCTCTGCCTTTTGTCTTGAGCCCTGGATGGTGAGCTGGGGGAATTAGATAGTGGGATTCATCGGAAGAGTCTTCCTCCAAGCTCCACTGAACATTCCTTTCCAGTATTCCCCTCCACCAGGCACAAGGTGCCTGATGCTTGATTCTCTCCAAGATAAGAAAGCATGCTTACTCTCTGTTAAGAGAATTAAATGGCTTCTTAATAAAGAAGACCCCTTTGGAACAAACAGTTCTCAACAAGGGTACTAACCCCTTTTAGGTGCTGCCTAGAGAGGTATGCATGCATTTTTGGGTTATAGTGATAGGGGTTCTACTGGCCTTTCGCTGCCATTGGCCAGTATGCTAAAGAAGTCCCATACAATGGAGAACTGTCCTGCCCAGTATGGCAGCGTTGCCCCCAGAGAGCACATGCTGTACAGAATTCTGCCTTTCCCCTTGTTCTCCCGTGGTAGTCTCGATGTAGTCATCATCATGGTGATACCATGAGCCACTATACTTTTGAGCCCTCCCTTATCTTGGCACCTTACTTAATGCTGTAATTGTGGCCTTAGTAATTCTTGGCACAAATTCTATTGAGGGGGCCCTTTTGTAGCTGATGGAGCTGTGGCTCAGATACGTTAGGGCACACAGTTTAAAAAGAACCATTGCTGAGTTTCAAGAATATGGCTCTTTGTGACTGGACGCACGTTCTGAACCACTTCGTGGCCCTGCTGCCATTTGATCTGTAGCCGTCTACTCCCCATGGCTGGTGCCGTAGCAGCATGCATCCGTCTTCCTCCCAGACTGAGCCCCTGGATGCGAGGGTGTTGTGCTGTTGCTTCCCCCACAGCCTTGTTCTTAGAGGATGCCCAAGCAACGTGTGAATGACTTTTAAAAGTGTACTTAAGGGGAAAAGTCCACCCTATTTGAATAACTACACACTGCATTTTTATTACTTAAAGGAAATAAGAAACCAGTGTGTGTTATTTATGTAAATTAAACCAGTTTTAAATGCTGGACTCTTGATCATCATTTCAAGCAACCATTTTACTGCACTTGCATACCTTTATTTTATCAGAGAGGCAGACTGAGCTCTCATCTGCTGGTTCAATCCTCAAATGCCTGGGATCTGGGAACTCAGTCTAGGTCTCCTTCATGGATAACAGAAACTCAAGTACTTGACCCATCACCTACTGCCTCCCAAGCTGTGCCTTAGCAGGAAGCTGGAGTTGGAAGCACAGCTGGGAATCAATGCAGACATTCAAATGACATCTTAACCATTGTGCCAAATGCCCATCCTAACAATAAGCATTTTAAACAAACTTAGAATGACGCCTTACTTGTTTAAATATGAGTGTAGCACAAAATGTAAGCTTCCAGTGCGAAGTCTAAGCCACATCCATGGGCTTCTCGCTTCCCTAAACGAGGCAAGCAGCTACAGCAGTCCCCCTAATCCTTGGGGAGGCATTCCGAGAGCCCCAGTGGATGCCTGAAACTGTGGGTAATGCTGCAAGTTCGCTCTGTATGTACTGTATTTTCTCCCTATAGATGCATATCTAGGGTAAAATTTAATTTATATTAGGCACAGATAAGAGAGTAAAACAATAAGACAATGGAACAATTATAACAGATACTGTAATGAATTTGCCAGCATTGCTACTCTTGTACTTTGGGGCCATTAAATAAAATGGAAGTTACTTGAACACATGCGGTGTGATAGCTGATATCAATTTGATGACCAGTGTAGTTACTATGGAATTATGTGATGGCTGGCATTTATGGTGCGTATATTCCAGACAAAGGGATGGTGCACATCCTGGGAGGGATGGCATGAGATCTCAACATGCTTCTCTGAACAACGTGCAATTTCAAATGTATGAACTGTTTGTTTCTGGAATATTCCATGTAATATTCTCAAATCACCACAGACTGAGGGTCATTGGAAACCCTGAAAAGCAAAGCCATATAATAATAGACACTGCTGTGCTGCTGTCCGTGTGGCTAATGAGCCAGAGTGGTGGCTTCTTTGAGAATTACATGAAAAAGAGAAGATGGAGCTCTGAACGTGAGCACTTCACCTAGAAAGGCCTCTGGTGGGTGACGGATCTGCTGTGTCAGACCAGTGGAGAAGCCAGATCTCCTCATCTGACACCTTCGTCTGTCATTCCCCACACTTAGGTAGTCAGGTCTTCATATCCTACAAATGGAAGCCCAAGGCCAAGTTGAATGCACAGCCAGACTTTGCCTTTGCTTTAGCATGTTCCTAGGCAGACTTCTGTGTTTGTAGGCAGAAATGGAAATGACACCTGCCTCATTAAAATACAAGGGAAAGAAGAAAAAAAAGAGGATATTATAAAATCAAGTATCAATTGGTCTCTTAACTCTACATTCTTTGTGTTATCTACTAAATTGCTTTTTTGCCTTTTGTAACTGAAATTGGGCATTTTCAAAATAGATGAAGTACAGGCTAATCTTGAGATACCTTGAGGATTTTTGTTTTCCTACAGAAGCAAAGCGAACAGGCTAAATGCAGAGGAGTTGAGTGAATGCAGAAGCTGCAGACTTCAGATGAGTGGATGTGTGTGTGGACCTCCCTGTGTCTCTGGAAGGACAGTTTGTTCCTTATATGAAATCTGTATGCTTTTGACTTGCACTAATAAATAAGTATTATCAAGGTTATTTTTCCTCAATTTATACATGCATTTTCCAGAATTCTAACCAAAGAGTTTGTAGCTTACTTGATTTTAAAAAGTTTCTGCTTTTGTGAGATGTTGAAATTAGAAGTTTATGAAACTTTTATAAGCACAGTGGTTCAAACTATTGTACTTGAAAATAATCCATGGTAAATCACTGACAGGACTGCTAATGCATTTCTCACACATGTTGGCATTTTATGATTTTGCACTTCATGCTTTATTTGAAATGTAAAAATAATTATATTTTGTTTTATAAATCTGCTTAACCTCTAACTCTTAATCCTCATCTTTTGCAGTTTTCGATGGTTTAATTAAACTTTATTTTAACTGTGACATTCTCATTTCTGGATTTTTTTTTGTTTTATACTTTTTTCTTTGTTGGACAAAATTTTATTTTACCAAATGGCAAGTTAGAAAATGGAAGAGGAAACAGATCCCCCCAAAGAGAGATGATCACAATATAACAAAAGGCAAGGTCTTTAGAAAGATAATTCTTTTAAAATAGCCTCCTAGAGGGGATGGCACTGTGGCATAGTGAGTAAAGCCACACAGCCTGCAGCACTGGCATCCCATATGGGCAACGGTTCGAGTCCTGGCTGCTCTGCTTCTGATCCAACTCCCTGCTAATGCCCCTGGGAAAGCAGTGGAAGATGGCCCACAGTGCTTGGTTCTCTGCATCCATGTGGGAGACCTGGCTGAAACTTCCGGCTCCTGGCTTCAGCCTGGCCCATCCCTGGCCATTGTGGCCATTTGGGGAGTGAACCAGAGGGTGGATGACCTCTTCCTCTCTCTGCCTCTGCCTCTCCCTCTCTGTGGTTTCAACTTTCAAATGAGTGTATTAATCTTAAAGAAAGAAAAAGAAAGGAGGAGGGGAGAGAAAGAAAAAGAAAAAAAAAGAAAGAACAAAGAGAAAGAAAAGAAAGAGAAAGAAAGAAAAAGCAAGCAAGCCTGTCAGCGTTACTCCAACAAGTTACAGAGGAGCCACGTCCATGACCAGCACTGAGCTAGGTAGATCAATACACCCCATTGTGACAAGGCAGTGTTAAAGGAGTCTAAGGAATGGTACCCCAAAATTGGCACCTTGGGCTCCTGATTATTATAAGCTGTAGGCATTTGGGGATCAGCATGCTGGATGAGGCTCTTCTGAAGTGCCTGGTCACTTAAAGACTGGATCTGCCAAAGTGCTTACCCAGTGGCCTTCAGTCTTTGTGCCGAAGTATCATTAACCAAGGGATATGGAACGTGTATGTCAGAGGGAGAGATGGAAAATCAAATACCACATCGATCCCTTATCTGTTCTTTGGGCCCATCATTCCCCTAAAATTCAGTGACTAAGCCCTCTAAATTGCCTCCCTCCACTGAATAAGGGTGTGTGAGCCTCTGAACTCACTGGACTATTGGGTGTTCGCCTTCCTGTGATGTCCCTGTGGGCGTCAATAAATTCATATGTGTTCCTCCTGCTAGCCTGTCCATTGCTGGCTTCTTTCAACAGAAAGGGTCAAACCATCAGAAGTGTAGGGAAGAAAATCCCCAGCTCAGGGAAAAGAGATTTTTAATTCCTGAGCCCCTTGTTGCCTAGGGGTGAGCCCCCACCAGCATTTCCATCTGCCACTGCCTCCCCACGTGCATTAGCAGGGAGCTGGACCAGAAGCAGAGCAGCTGGGACGTGACTGGCGCTCCTATATGGGATGCTGGGTTCACAATTGACAGTTTAACCTGCTGCGCCATAGCTCCAGCCCCTAATCTATGTTTTTTATGAATTACTCTGTTTTACAATTTCTAGGACTCAAGTAAGCATGTCAGCATCTACAATGGAAGTGTATTTGCTTGTCATAGTTCTCCTAATAGGGTTCCAGTTTCTCTAGAGGAAATTTAAGAATGTGCAGCAAGATTTTAAAAGAATTTATTCCTAAATGCAGAGTGATAGCCTAAATCGGATTCTGGAACAGGACACTGGTGTCAGTGGAAAAGCTGGTGAATCCAAAAGAAACACATAGTTCAGCTAATAGGATTCTGACAATGTTAATTTCTTAGTTTTTGTTTGACAGGTAGAGTTAGACAGTGAGCGTGAGAGACGGAGAGAAAGGTCTTCCTTCCGTTGGTTCACCCCGCAAAAGGCTGCTACGGCCGGCGCTGCGCCGATCCAAAGCCAGGATCGAAGTGCTTTCTCCTGGTCTCCCATGCAGGTGCAGGGGCCCAAGCACTTGGGCCATCCTCCATTGCCTTCCCGGGCCACAGCAGAGAGCTGGACTGGAAGAGGAGCAACCGGGACTAGAACCCGGCGGCCATATGGGATGCCAGTGCCACAGGTGAAGGATTAACCAAGTGAACCACAGCACCAGCCCCAATTTCTTAGTTTTGACAAATTAATCATGATTATATAAGATGTCAAAAGTAGGGGAAGGAAGGGTGGGGGTGGGTGCAGCAGGTTACACCTGCCACTTGGGACACACATCCATGTCCAGTATTGGTTCAAATCCTAGCTACTTCCCCTCTGATTCAGCTCCCTGCTAATTCATCCCGGGAGGCAGCAGGTAATGGCTCAAGTACTTGAGTTTCTGCCAGCTGCATGGGAGACCAGCATGGAATTCCTGGCTCCTGGCTTTGTGTTGCTCCAGCACTGGCTTTTGTGGCCATTTGAAGCATCAACCAGCAAATGGAAGATCTTTCTCTGTTACTCTCTGTCTTTCAAATAAATAAAATAAATACATCATTTACAAAAACCATTAGAAGCTGGGTGAAAGGCATATGGGGACTCCGTGTACCATCTTTGAAATTTTTCTATAATGCAAACATTACAAAATTTAAAAATAGTTGAGGGGCCAGCGGTGTGGTGCAGTGTGTTAAGCCTCCACTTGTGGTGCCGGCATCCCACATGGGCGCCAGTTCAGGTCCCAGCTGCTCCTCTTCCGATACAGCTCTCTGCTGTGGCCTGGGAAAGCAGTAGAAAATGGTCCTAGCCCTTGGGCCCCTGCAACTGCATGGGTGACCCAGAGGAGACTCGTGGCTCCTGGCTCCTGGCTTTGGATCGGCACAGCTCTGGCCATTGCAGCCTTTTGGGGATAGCTAAGTATACCTTTGGCCCAACAAATTCTACTTCTAAATATTAATTAACATAATTTGATTAAAATGGTTTTGAGGAGAGTCACTCATTGCAGTTTATATTTATTAGGAAAATGAGTAAGGAATCCAAATGCCCAACACCATGGGCAATGAACTAGCCATGTTCACCCATGCATAAAATCATTAAGAGAATTGTTCTAGAATATCAAGGGTAGGGGACTTTTTCTGCCATGGGCCATTTGGATATTTACAATGTTATTCACAGGCCATATAAAATGATCAACTTAAAAGTTAGCCTGTTATGGATTTATAGAATTTCAAGCCCCACCTGTGGTTGTCTTGGTAGAGCCAGATCAGTTGATTCTGTGGGCCATGCGTTCCCTGTCCCTGTAGATGTTGGGGCATAGTAGTGAGCAAAACACAGGTCCGTGTTGAGCAGACAGAGGTCAGAATCTGACTTATAATTAACAAGCTTGACTTTTGATTTCCCCTCAATTCTTTTCTAGGCTTCTCACATTTTCTTTAATGATCATCTATTCCTTTAAGATTAAATGAAGGCCAGCACCGCGGCTCAATAGGCTAATCCTCCGCTGTGGCGCCGGCACCCCGGGTTCTAGTCCCGGTTGCCCGTCTTCCAGGCCAGCTCTCTGCTGTGGCCTGGGAGTGCAGTGGAGGATGGCCTAAGTGCTTGGGCCCTGCACCCCATGGGAGACCAGGAGAAGCACCTGGCTCCTGGCTTCGGATCAGCACAGTGCACAGGCTGCAGCACGCCGGCTGCGGTGGCCATTGGAGGGTGAACCAACGGCAAAGGAAGACCTTTCTCTCTGTCTCTCTCTCACTGTCCACTCTGCCTGTCAAATAAAATAAATAAATAAATAAATAAAAAGATTAAATGAAGAATGTTCATCCATATTGTGAATCGTTTGCCCATAAGCCATTGGGTTGTCATTGTGATTTCTTTCTGCTCAGAGTCTATGTAGTTTATGATATTCTAATACTCATCTAAAGAATGAAAGTCTCACTAGCTGTTATTATAGCCTATTGTGCATTTGTAATTGAAAACTTTTTTTCAAACTTTTTCTTATTTTATTTGAAAGGCTGAGTTACAGAGAGAGAGGGAGACAGAGACTGAGAGATCTTTCTGGTTCACTCCCCAAACAGCTGCAACAGCCAGAGCTGGGCTGATCTGAAACCAGGAGCCAGGAGCTTCTTCCAGGTCTCCCATGTGGGTGAGTGGGCCCAAGCACTTGGGTCATCTTCCACTGCTTTCCCAGGCCATTAGCAGGGAGCTGGGCCAGAGTGCAGCAGCTGGGACTTGAACCAGTGCCCATATGGGATGGCAGCACCACAGGTGGAGGCTTTACCCGCTATGTCACAGCGCTGGCTCCTGAAAACTTCTTTAGTCTAACTTATGACAGGCTAGGGATTTTCTTGTTGTTAGAGCTAAAAGAAAGTTCAATAATGACCACATTTAGACTCTTAATACCGAGACAGATAGAAAGGTCAGAAGTAGAATGGCCAGCTCAGTGGTGTCTCAGATCTAGAACCAAAATCTACCTGTCCTGACTCCTGATCTAATTCCACAATAAGGTCTAAAAGAACAAGAGCAAATACAAAATTTTAAGGATCCATTTAAACACCCTAAGTTAGTGTTCCTACATATTGTTTAAGGCATCGAAACTAAATAATACTGTTATAAATTGTCCATCAAGTTTAAACTATTCATTGAAAAGATATGTTGAATGCCTAGTACTCCCATCAGCCAAGTACTATAAAAATCTTTAAAACAAAGAATTCTCCTAAAAGAAAAAGCTACACTTATAGTTGCTTGGAAGTCTTTGCCGTCTCTCTAAGCATCAGATTTTAATGGTTTATACAATATGGATTGAGAAGGCTCTTTACTGCCCTCTTGTGGAGGATAGATCTATAAAAATCTTAAAGGAAAACGTTAGAAGTTGAACCATTTTTCTCAAGGACATGGGACTTGTGTAGTATCATTTAGCTGTATAAACTGTACATCTTTTCCACTCTTCCAGTAAGAAATATAATTTTAAGGAAGATAGTAAAGGCATGGTTCTTTCAGGAAACATCCAACCAGGTGCACAGAGGTAAGCTGTAGACAGAACTCCTAAGGGAACAACACGAGGCCTACAGCGGGATGAAGAGGAGGGGCGTAGCACAACCCAGACCCAAACCCTGCCCCTCCTTGAAGCTGTCATTTTACCTCTGGTCTTAGTTTCCTCCACTATCAAAGATATGGAAAGCCAACCCTTTACATCCTTGCAGCCTCCCCAATGCCCACCTTGGCTGTGTGCTTGCGCTGATAATCCCCTCTCTCTGCTCTCCCTCGCTCCCTCCCAATGCAGCAAGCTGGGGAGTCGCTGGCCATCCCTCTCCTCCCCACCCCACCCCCACAAGGTCCTTTGCTGCTTCTCCATGTGGCGTGCTCAGGAATAAATGAAGATGGTGGAAAGTGTATGCGCTGGGACAGAAGGCACCTAGATGGAGCCCTGCTCCTGCAGCTGTCTCCTGTGTTCCTTTTGGACAGCACTGGATGCCTCTGGGCCTTCATTTTCCCTGTTGCTCTAAGCCACCAATAAGAACTGGAGCTCCACGGTGAAGGTGAAATGGCTGTGTGTGAAGCTAGGGCCAGGGAGGTACACGGTGAGCCTTCTATGCCACAAATTCAGCAGTTCTGGAGACGGCAGTGAGGGCGTGTTACAGGGTACCTGGAGAGTTTCCCACTGGCCAAATCTGCTTCAATTTGAACTCACGATAATTAGAGCGATGAATTGTACACCTTTTGGAAATATTTGAAATCCATGAGTCTATACTGAAAATAAAACCAAGTAAAGAGCAGACAAAAATATATTTAATGAAGATGATACACAAATGGCTGATACACACAGGAAAAGATGCTCAATATCATTAGTAATCAGGGAAATTCATCAAGTGTCTCTTCAAACACAGTAGCATGGCTATAATAAAAAGAAAATAAGATGCTGGTGAAGATTTGGAGGAAGGGGATATTTACATGTTGCTGCTGGTTATATGAAATGGAGTAGCCATTTTGGAAATAGTTTTATGGTTTCTTAAAAAGTTAAACATAAACTTTGTACCTCTCAACAGTTTCACTCCTAGGCATTTACCCCAATCAGTAGAGCAGAGAGGTAGCTACACCGTCATGTCGACTGCAGCATTATTTGCAACAGCTAAGATATGAAAACAACCCAAATTTGAACAATGAGCAAATGAATAGAGAAAATGGGACATACGTATAGGACAGAATATGACCCAGCCTTAAAAAAGTAGATACTGACATCTGCCACAATTTTAATGGACATTATGCCAAGTGAAATAAGCCAGACAGAGGTAGATTGTATATATAAAAAAGAAAAGGAAGTGGGGAGATATAGGTTGAGGGATACAAAACAGCAGACAGGTAGGATGAACAAGTGTAGAGATCTAATGTAAAACATGGGAACTAGAGTTAAATGGAATTGAATTGTATTAGAGATTTCTGTTAAACAAGTGGATGTTAGCTGTTCTTGCTACAGTAAGTAGCTATGAACTGACAGACATGTTGATCTGCTTCACTACAGTAACCATTTACTATCAATATGTATCTTCAAAGAGAGAAAAGTTGCAGTGAAACCCCAGCAGCCAGAGGAAAGGTTTGGGGTGGTGTTGGGGAGTGAGGAAGTCCTGGCTAAGGTGGACACTATGGCTTCCGATGGCTAACAGGTGGGATTGTGGTGTTGAGGAAGAGGGAGCATGCTCTTCACTGGAAGTCATCAGGAACTGAGATAGCAAATGCAAGGAGCAGTGGGAGGCTGGGAAGTAATGTGCTAACTCTTGGTTAGTGGTAGTGGGAATATCTGGGGGAGGGGGGGCCAGTACAGCTGATCAGTAGTAACAAATGGATGTTTGTGTTTGAACACCATGAATCTACTATGCCAGATATCAGAATGGCCCTAAACATATGACTCTTACACAGTCTTCAGGTAGAAACACTGGGAATTACCGCAGGGAACCTGCAGCTCTGGGGTAAATATTAGCAAGAAGGCCCAAATAATCTGCTGAACTTCTATAATAATACCACTAGTAGAATAGCTAAAGCTCAAAATCGAGACACACACAATGCTTACTGTAGACATGCTAATCTTGGTAGGAGCAGGGGGGCTTTTTTTTTTGACAGGCAGAGTGGACAGTGAGAGAGAGAGACAGAGAGAAAGGTCTTCCTTTTGCCGTTGGTTCACCCTCCAATGGCCACCACGGCCAGCGCACTGCAGCCAGCGCACCACGCTGATATGATGGCAGGAGCCAGGTGCTTTTCCTGGTCTCCCATGGGGTGCAGGGCCCAAGCACTTGGGCCATCCTCCACTGCTTTCCCGGGCCACAGCAGAGAGCTGGCCTGGAAGAGGGGCAACCGGGACAGAATCCAGCGCCCCAACCAGGACTAGAACCCAGTGTGCCGGCGCCGCAAGGCGGAGGATTAGCCTAGTGAGCTGCGGTGCTGGCCCAGGGAGGCTTTCTAAGAATGGAATTATGAAAAAAGTCTGGCAGTCGAGGTCAGAGCAGGTTTAAATTTTAGCTGGGTATAGGAAATGAAATTGGCAAACAAACAAGCTTTCTGCACATTAATGTTTATTGCACCTCAATTCACAATAGCTAAGACCTGGAACCAACCCAAATGCCCATCAACAGTAGACTGGATAAAGAAATTATGGGACATGTACTCTATAGAATACTATACAGCAGTCAAAAACAACAAAACCCGGTCATTTGCAACAAGATGGAGGAATTTGGAAAACATCATGCTGAGTGAATTAAGCCAGTCCCAAAGGGAAAAATATCATATGTTCTCCCTGATCGGTGACAACTAACTGAGCACCAAAGTGGAAACTTGTTGAAATGAAATGGACACTATGAGAAACAGTGACTTGATCAGCTCTTGTCCTGACGGTTGATGTACAATGTAATACTCTATCCATTTTAGTATTTTTTTTGTTCTAGTACCATTGGTTGAACTCTGTAATTAACACACAATTATTCTTAGGTGTTTAAATTTTAACTGGAAAGTGATCCCTGTTAGGAATTTGGAAAACATTATGCTGAGTGTAATAAGCCAATCCCAAAGGGACAAATACCACTTGTCCTCCTTCATAGGTGACAACTAACTGAGCACCAAAAAGGAAACCTGTTAAAGTGAAATGAACACTATGAGAAATGGTGACTTGATCAGCCCTCACCCTGACTGTTGATGAGCAACTTGATATGTTATCCCTCTTAGTATTTTTTTTTGTTTGTTCTACTTAATACTTTTGGTTGAATACTGTAATCAATACACAGTTCTTCTTAAGTGCTGAAACTTAACTGAAAAGTGATCGCTGTTAAATATAAGAGTGGGAATAAGAGAGGGAAGAGATGTGCAATTCGGGACATGCTCAAGCTGACTTACCTCAAACGGTAGAGTTAGAAACATACCAGGGGATTCCAATTCAATCCCATCAAGGTGGCATGGACCAATGCCATCTCACTAGTCCAAGTGATCAATTTCTGTTCACAATTGATCATAGTGATAGGACTAAGAACCAAAGGGATCACATAAACAAGAATAGTGTCTGCAAATACTAGCTGATAGAATAAAAAAGGGAGAGAATGATCCAACATGGGAAGTGAGATACACAGCAGACTCATAGAATGGCAGATGTCCTAAACAGCACTCTGGCCTCAGAATCAGCCCTTAAGGCATGTGGATCCGGCTGAAAAGCCCATGAGAGTATTTCAGGCATGGAAAGCCAAGACACTCTGGGGGGAAAAAAAAAACCCTAAATGAAAGATCTCCGCGAGTGAGATCCCAGTGGAAAGAACGGGTCATCATCAAAGAAGGAGGTACCTTTCTCTGAAGGGAGGAGAGAACTTCCACTTTGACCATGGCCTTGTCTAAATACGATCAGAGTCAGTGAACTCAGGGGGCTTCCATAGCCTTGGCAGCTCATGATAAGAGCCTAGGGTGATTACTGATGCCATAAACAAGAGTGTCAATTTGTTAAGTCAACAACAGGAGTCACTGTGCACTTACTCCTCATGTAGGATCTTTGTCCTTAGTGTGCTGTACATTGTGATTTAATGCTATAACTAGTACTCAAACAGTATTTTTCACTTTATGTTTCTGTGTGGGAGCAAACTGTTGAAATCTTTACTTAATGTATGCTAAACTGATCTTCTGTATATAAAGAGAATCGAAAATGAATCTTGATGTGAATGGAAGGGGAGAGGGAGTGGGAAATGGGAGGGTTGCGGGTGGGAGGGACGTTATGGGGGGGAAGCCATTGTAATCCATAAGCTGTACTTTGGAAATTTATATTCATTAAATAAAAGTTAAAAAAAAAGAAACAGAACCTCCAACCAAAAAAAAAAAATGAAAATATAATGATAATAATTATAATCATAAAAAAGAAATGAAAGAATAAAATCTATATTTTTAGAAAATAAAAAAAGATGGGTTACAATTAATAAGCAATTGAGCCTTGGTTTCTTCACGTTTTGACAAGGAGAGTATGAAAGTCTTAAGGTTTTCATGAAGAAGCAATATGTGTTTTTTAAAAAAAATTTTTAAGATTTACTTATTTATTTGAAATGCAGAGTTACAGAAAGGGAGGGAGAGAGATCCTCTAACCACTGTTTCACTCCCTAGTTGGCCACAATGGCAGGGTGTGGCTAGGTCAGGCTAAAGCCAGCAGCCTAGAATTCCACCCGTGTCTCTATGGGTGGCAGGGCCCAAGTACTTGGGCCATCTTCTGCTGCTTTCCTAAGAGAATTAGCAGGGAGGCAGATCAGAAGTGGAGCAGGCAGGACTTGAATCTGCACTTATATGGGATGCAGGTGTCTTAACTGATAGCTGTCCAGCCATACATGTATTTCTAAGTCATATGAAACATGTGTCAGCAAGATACGCAAACATGGCACTATGCCCTTCTCAAACCCATTGTATGTCTTCATTATGCAAACACTGTGGCCAGGAGTGGCACTGTCAGCCATCATTGACATTGCAGGGGGTAGGAGGAGGGCTGAACTAGGTGGGCTTTGCTATCCCTCCAGGCAGCCACCACTTCCGGTTTTCTGCTGTACAAAATCTCAACGTAAATTGAGCTCAGTAAACCAGGAGAAGCAGCACTGATTCGTCATTCTTTCCTTAGGAAGCCAGAGCCATTCATTTGCCACGAAGAGAAGGAAAATTCCAAGTCATTCAACGAAAGCTGTCCCCACGGATGGTCATGGTTGTCCACAAACCCTGTCCTTGGGTCCGTGTGCAGCACCTGCCAAGGTGGAGCCTGAGTGTCAGTGACAGCCCGGCTCTCTCTGCTACTCAGGTCCTACAGCATGGAAACCATTCTTTGCCCCATCACTGCTTTGTGGAAGGTAAACCATCTAGGGTACTCATCGCTCTCAGAGCCCCCTACCATGTATGCTATGACATAATGCTTCTTTGATATCTGTTTTGTAAGTCTTTCAATTTCCCATTAATGGGACAAAAATCAAAGTGGCCATTACTTTCTGTTTTCTCTGCGCCAGCCCTTCCCTTTGCAAAGTGCTTGCTGTCTCTGAGTTGGTTCAGTGGCTGGGGTCATGCTTCCCAGTGCTTCATTCTGTCTGCAGAGAGAAGTGAAACACACCTGCAAGAAACAGGCTGAAGGTGCAAGCCAGGGACCACAGAGGTCATTCCTAGGCCACCCTTGGGAGATGACCTGCAGGCCTGGCAAGAGAAGAATGACTCTATTGTTAACTGCCATCTGATCAGGACAGGGCAGGGGTGGCCCTCGTGCCTCACAAGCAGGACTAGAGTCTGAGTGTGACACAGCTGGAGGACAGTCAAGCCCACGGATGTAAGTGTCTGCACAAGACCGCTCAGCACTGGGCACCGTATGCGACTCCCGGTTCCTACCACAGTGCTCCTTCCTTCACATACTACATAGCCTCAGATTTGAGAGCCACTAAAACCCCGGCTGTGGTGCTACGAGTGAATGCTGTGCCTCCTCCCCCCAAATTTATACAAGTGCATTTCCAAAAGTCCATATAAAACTTGTATTAAAAAGTCCATTTTGGCACTGAAAATTTTTGAAATTTGTTTTTTTTTTCATAAGACATATTTTCCTTGAACTTTTTGAAGCCCCCTCAAATGCATGGATTTCAAGCATTTTTGCAACAAAATGAACAGACTTTTTAACTCAATTTTCCCTTTTGTTTAAAAATTTATTTACTGGCCAGTGCCGCGGCT